GAAAATTTGATAATAATTGGCAAATCTTCAAAAAACATTACACATTTTTTACTATTTTAGAATTTTCATAATCTATGATAATTTGGATTTTTTTAAAATCCATCATAAGGCCATTATTTGAAATGATATATCCTAAGAAGTCAACTTAAGTAGTCTAAAATACATAATTTTTCATCTTGGCATATAATCTTTATCATGGATGTATATCTACTATAATTATTAACTAGATAATATGAATAAATAAAAATAAGTAAAAATAGATTAATTTCATAATATCTTTTTAAAAGCTTTCTAAATGCTATTTTGACTTTATATGTACTTATAGTTGATTGGTAGGTTAGAAACTTGATCAACTAATTAACTACATACTATATATATCTATAACTTGTAAAATAAGCTAATTAATGGCATCCATATAAAAAATTTGCTTTGCAAGTTAAAATATATGTCATGCAAAGTCAACTCGTTTTTGGAGGTCATATAGAACATTGCTACATAAATCTCAAGTAGATAGTATATATAGAGGCAAGAATGAAGCTTTTTTCACTCTTGTCAATCCATCTTTTGCTTCTAGTCTAATTTCAAGAGTTTCTAGTTTTTTTGTTTTTTGGCAATAGTGATTCTAATTTTTTTTTAATATAAATGTTCTTCTATTTCTATTTTGTTATATTGTTTTGAAAGAGTCTTATTTGTTTCTTTGCTTTCATCAAGTTATTATCTTTGATAATTTTTTAATTTTTGTAATATATGACAAATATAAAATTCATACTCTTTTATATTATTAAAGCAAATCAAGTTGTTGTTCAAATAACAAATAATAAAGTCATTGAAAAACTCACAAAAGAAATTATTTAATACATATTAAAAAAAAACAAATAACTTTGTGAGTTTAAAAGATATAATATTATATTTAAATTTATATACTTAATTTAAAATATGGAACATATTAAGTTATATGCTTTTTATAGATTTATATTTATATAGATCTTTACTTAATTTAATTGATCAAAAATTTTTAAAATTAAAAGTAGAAGATATCTATTTTTGATGTTGTTCTTGTTGAATCCATGATAGTCTACACATATTTGCAAAGATTTATTTTTTTACTTCACAAATAAAATAAGAGACCTTCTTAGAAATTTACAATGGCATATAAAATTCTTAGCGAAGTTCTTATCAATGTATTCCTTGAGTACAATCATCTCATTCTATGATAAGTTGTAAATTGGTCCAAATTTCGGTTGAACTCCTTCTTAAAGATCAATAGAACAATCATAGAAATAATATTCTAAAAACTATTTATATTTTTTTTCTCAAAAACGTCTTAATAATCTATGTAGTAACTTGGAATACCACTTGAAATCCTTTTTCTGTTGAAAATAGGTGTGGCATATATAGCAAAAGTTGACCTTTCTTTTGTAACATGCATGAAAGCTCTTGCACCTACTAATAAGGATTTAGATGTATTGGATTTATGGATTTCTATTTAACTGATAAATTTTGAATTAAAATATAAAAAAATTAAGATTACAAGAAATTCAATCTATTTGAGAATCATATTTATTTAGCCATGATAATTCTAAAATAATTAAATTAAAAAAAATTCAATCATAATAAATTTTACTAAGCTATTATAATCTTTCATTGTTACGTCTAAAAGAACTATTTCATGGATAATGTCTTTAGAGGATAAAAAATGACCATCTATGACTTTTACATGTATAGATTTATTTTTCTTGACTAAAGATATTTCTTGTATTTTAATAAATATTTTATCTATAAAATAAGATTCTTCAATCGAATAAAAAAATAATTTTTGATTTTTTGGTCTTAAACAAACTTCTATTGTAAGAAAAAATAGTAAAAAATCTAAAGAAAGAATAGGACCTTTATTAGGTGCTATACAAGATTCAAGCCACATAGTGTTGTAATATATATTTTCTTGTTTGAGAATGCATCAAATACTTGGTTGTGGATGGTAAAATTATATTTTATAAATATTTAAAAAATCCTAATAGGTTTTACTCATATAAGAAAAATTTAATTCAAATTTTAATTCAAAAGTACTTAAAGCTAGTACAAAGTGCTTAAACACACTCTTATTAGTAACTTCAACTATACATAAATCTCAATTTTTTTTTATTACTTTTGTAATTAGGTAATTTTGATTTTTCTTTGTAAGTCCTAATCCTAATTAGTGAACTTTGGTAAGCTGTAACTCCTAATTTGATTGTCCATTTAGTCCAAAATTTTGCACAAAAATGCTATTATAAGCCTTCTATATACTTTAAAAAAATTCAATCCAATCTAATTTACACATTGTGAGAAAAAGCCCAAAATTGTATTAATGATATTTGGCTGCCAACTTAAAAGTTGATGCAAATATTCCAATAGTGGTTTTTCTTTCTTCAATTTTTAACTTTAACTCAAAACCAATTTGTAGCTTAATATTGAAGTCTTCTAAGACCATGCCAAATTTCACCTTGAATCAATTAGTAGACCTTTAGAATTTAATAACATATATGATGGCTAAATATAAGTTTTATTATAAAAATAGGAGTTTGGTCTCTACTACTATTTTTCAATCATTTTTTCTAAATCTCATCGTAAAGACTTTTATGAATGAATTCCAATCATAAGAAAATTGTGAATCCTTTTCTATTAAAGATGCAAATGAAGGAATATTTTCAAACAGAAGTACACCTATAAATTCAACTTGAGTAAATCTATTAAAGTATTAGAAAAGATGCAACCTTAGAAAGAACTTCACTTATTATAAAAATCCTTCAAAATTTAATCTTATTCTGTCAAACTTCTCTAACATACTTATTTTTTTCTTCTTTATATGTATGAAAATATGACTTTTTTACATTTAATTAAAAAAATTAATTTACTTGGTTCTCTCAATTACACAACTTTTTAACATAAAATCTAAATCTTATTGTTGACTTCTTCTATAGGCATAGAAATAATATCCTTATGATTCACATTAGAAATACTTGAGATTTTGATCCTAAGAGTGTTGATAAGCTCGTAAAGATCTAATGTAGTTGCAAATTTATTCTTACTTCCATCCTATATAGCATCTATAATTTTTTCTTATATAAACAATGTTTAAAAAATTAAAAATTAGTTTAAAAGTGGATAGTTTGTAATATTCAAAATACAACAATAGAAGTGCAAAATTCACTCACTTCTAAAACAAAACAAGAACAAAAAGTTAGGATTCTTATGAAACTATCAAAAAGATGAATTTCAATGAACTAAACGATTAATAAATTCTTATGTTATTAAAAAAGACTAAAAAATTACTTAAAGATAATATAATATTAAATTAAAATAGCTATTACTATAGAAAAAAACTAAAAAGTCTTAAAATGAGACTAAAGACTAAAAAGACATTAATAATAGTAAAAAAGACTTTATTTTTATCTCTACATATATTATTTAACTAAAAGCTATGTTGCAATATTCTACAACTTTTTTAACATATGTCCAATTTATAAGATATATGTCTTAATTTATAAGGCAAGTTTTCTATAAGTGTGCCACATTGATAGCTTATATCATTAACTATTCATACACATGACACATGACTAAATTGTTGGCTAAGTTTCTAACTTATCAATCAACTATGAATATACATAAAATCAAATATGTATCTATGAAGCTTTTATGAAGCTAGGCCACAAGATTATATATATATATATATATATATATATATATATTACTTAATATTTTTTAACTAAATATGTATGTCTATGACATTTAAAAGAAGATAAAAACTTTCAAAATCCAAATAAAAAATTACGGATAATAGATAATTTTCACATAACACCTAACAGATGTAAGTGTGACAACAATGATTAAGACTTTTTTCTAATAAACAAAAGAAAAGAAGGTACAATAAATTACAACACAAATAAAATATTGACAATTAAAAATAATAGAGAAAAAAATGTAGATTAGATAATTTCAAGAGAAGAAAAAATACAAACTTAAATAAAGAATTTACAAAAAAAAGGTAATGAAGGTAAAGAAAGAAAAATTTAAGATTATAAAAGGACAAGTGTTAAAAAAAACTCTAAAGACAGTAAAGAGTTTGATATATAGTACAATTATTCAAGATATAAAAAAGATATTCTCAGATTGATAATATCATAAAGGAAAAAAACAAGCAAATAAAGTATATAAACAATACTTAGCAATTGCAAAATGGAATTTTTAAAAATTAATTATTCATACTCCAAACATTAAAATGACATAAAAATAACAGAAATAGATGGTGGTCTTATAGCCTAGTAAGTTCAATGGTTATTTAATCACATAGATTGAAGGTAGAAGTTACTATGCTAAAAATTGCAAAAAAAAATACAAAATGAAGGCTCATGAAGCAACAAAAAAAATTCTATTAGAAACAAAACAAAGATTATGGTCTATTTTTGAAGATTTATGACCACTTATTTCAGCTAAAATACCATGTTTAGTAGAGAAGATGAAAATTTCAACAACTAATAATAGAATCAAGATATCAAACGAAGAAGGCAGGGTATGAACAAACTGTAGACTATGTATCAATCAGCCAGCAAATGTTATACAAAGAAGCAACCAAGGTCTCGATCAAAGAATCCAGCCGAGCATCTGTTGAAAACCTTAGTCGAGCGTCCATTGACGATCCCAATCGGGCGTCCATCAACTCCAACTGGACGTGCATTGACGACCCCAGCCAGGCGTCAATTGACGATCTCAGTCTGGCATCGATCGAAGGCCCTAAATGAGCCTCAAACAATGAGGCCAGAAGTGCCTTGGTCGATGATCCTGTCGAGATATCAAACAACGACCCCATCCAGACTTCTTTTCACGAGACCGGCAGGACAACAATTTCACAAAGCCAACAAACCAAGACAGCGTTTCATTAAACGAGGCCACCTTGCAGTGCTGTGACAAACGAATTAACAAGCAAAACTAGGACCTCGGCACTCAAATACCAAAGGGAGCAATTAACACAATACAATATGGATTATAATATACAAGATCTCGACACCAGAGCACATTGTAAGCATGATGGATACAAACGGGAGTACAAAAAATTCAGAGCAAATGAGCAGAATTTTTGAATTTGAAGTCGATGATTTGGTGCTCTCGCAGTATCTCCCTCCACTGACCTAGTCCGGGTTCTCACCAACTAGATCCTAGTGAGCACAAGTGCCGGGGAGTGCTTGCTCGCTTGATAATGAACTTCGTCGCAAAGTTCTATCAACCAGCTACGTACTAAGGAGTGCCTGCCCACTCGGTGATCAGGTTTGCCACAAGGCTCTGTCAACCACACAAACACAAGGGAGCAACTAATTGCTTGACAATCAACTTCACCGCGAGATAAAGTCAACATACACAAATCAACCAAGACGATCTATAAGTGGGACATCAAAACAAAACCAAAAAAATTCTGTGGACCAGGTACTACTAGGTATACAAAATTCTTCGAAACAACATATCAACAACGTATAATCCAGAAACATAGCCACTTACTACAGTTTGCGGAGGAGCATTGCCCAATGCAACTATGGCATTGCAGTGGATAAGGCGACGCCCTTCGCAAGCAGGGTATAATTCAACATCGCGAGGACCATGACCATCCACCTGACGAACTACTTGGCAACATCCAAACTCACAAGGAACACCACCATTGCAGCCACTTCGACACCACAGAAACCCCAGAGCGCAATCGCCAGAATGACTTCAAACAACACTCCTCCAGCATCAAAACCAGCACCAACAGAATGAAGGTGTAGGAGGACCTCAGCATGTTTAATTTACATACACCTATGGACAAAAAAGGACACGGTGGCCTCGGTGGCTATCAATTTATAGACAAAAAGGGTGGTGGCAATCTCAGAAGTCACCCCTTGCGGTTCCACTAGCCTGCTGGTGGAATCCAAGACAACTCCACCGCCACCCCAGATTTCCTCTGACAACGGGTGGGCAAGTGTAGCCACCTTACGATGGCCATCCTTTATTAAAAGCTAACCACCATTTACCTTTTAATTCTAACTTAAAAAATAAATTAGAAATTAGGAGCATCTTAAATGATCATGCAGTGCATGAATTTAGTACTTTGCAACAAAATATGACAATTAATTCCAAGAGAAATTATGAAAGTATGTTACATAAGAACTTAGAAGATAAGACAGCACATCAAAACAAGCAAAATTTAAGAGGACAATTTAAGATATCACAAAAAACATTACAACAAGCTCAATGCAAGTCAAATATAAGAGGATGACTCAATTTTTATCAAAACTAATGATATGCAATTTTGGAAGAAAAAATAAGCTTTAAAATGTGAAAAAGAATTCATTACATGAAAATTTAGAAGCCAAAAATAAAAAAATTCACTATTTATAAAAGAAAATAGAAAGAAAATAGAAAGAAAATAGAAGATTTTAATGTGTTCAAAATACACATTATTAAATATATTAAAACTTAATAATTAATTAAGTGGAATCCATTAATTGTAGAAGGAGGGAATAATATTAAGCTTTGAAATTATATTTATTAGTGAATTAATAAAATAAATATATTATTTTATTTAAAAAATATATTAAAAAGTAATAAAATATTATAAAAAAAATAGAAAAAATTATAAATTAAAGAAGTAAGTATAAATAAAATTAAAGAAATATAAAAAAATATAAAGATGCAAAGAGATTAGCCATCCATGTGTTTAAAAGATAAGGTGGTTGAAACAACCTTTGATAATTATGGTAGTTAAACATAAGTTAGTTTTACTATGTTTAAGTAGTATAATTTTTTTATTATAGATAAGCTATAAATAGCTTCAAATTTCTATTATAATTATAAAAAAATCATAATAAAGATATTATATTTGACAAACTTATATTCATTTCATCATATACTTTTGATCCATTATTAAGTTGTAAAAGTTGTAGGATAAAGTTCATGAAGCTATAGATATTCTTCAATACAAAGAAATAGGAGCTTTAAAGATTAGGTTGAAGTAGACAAAGATAAGATAAAGTTTATAAAGATATAGATATTTCTCAATACATGACCTTTAAAGATTAGGTTAAAGAAAAAAAAGACAAGAGTGACAAATATATTGAAAATAGATTTAAAATTGAATTGTTTGATCTGAATTTTGATGGAAATAAAAACTTTAGGGAATTGAGACAAGTATAGGGATTATTCTTATATATAAACATAAAAGGGATAACTTATGATTCTTGAGGTGTGAAAATCTAGGTATTCACATACAATTCAAACTTTCACATGGTACTTATATTGATTGGTTTTCTACATGAAAACATGCTTATTTTTTTAAACTCTGTCAACTATCTTTATTGATGAGTTCTTGTATTGCTATATGAGTTAGTATATTAGTTAGTGGTTGAACTTCAATATTTTATAATATATTGTATAAACAAAGATTGTTATATATAATACATTGAATACTACAAATCAGTCATAAAGTATATAATTTAAATCAAATATAAATATACAATTGATACACTTTCAAAGAAAGATTAAAATCTACACAAAATTAACTCAAGCTATTTTTTATACTACAAAAGAAGAATCCAAGATTATAAGTGTGAAAATAGAAAAAACCTTAAAGTTTTACTAAAATGGCTAAATTACTATAGCCAAATAAATCCATAAAATACATTTTTTTTCTTTCAAATTCACTCTTAAGACTTGATTTGACAAGAATGTCAAGTCAAGGATTTTTTTCCACCTAAGTATCTAAATCCTAATTGATATTAATAAATTCAACTAATAAAAAAATCTCAATGGATAAAAAACCATTAACCAATCTAAACTACGTATATTTGATAAGATATTGCACTTGATGCTATATCACATGATAACTGTTACATAAATAATGATTATTAAACATAACTTATTGAGTGCTACAAATCAATTACAAAATATTTAATCTAAATCAATTACAAATAAAAAATCAACATATTTTCAAGTGCATCTTCTTAGCTTACTAAGAGTCCATTTAGTAAGCTAAGACCACAAAACTTACCTAGTTGAAGATGAATGCTACAATGATGTTGCCAATTTATATTGATTCAAGCTAATATTGTAGTAGCTAGATCATAAAAGTGTATGAAAAACATATTAGAAGAAATCTTCAATCTTTATTAGTAAATGATGTATGGTTGAAAGACTTCTTATAACAAGGACAAATCCAATCTTTTGAATGGAGAGTCAAAAGAGGTGGTATCAAACATGCTATATACTATCTATATTGGCATTGATCACATATAAGTATGGTAGAAATCTCTTTCTTCTCACCTTATATAAAACAAAGAAGACCAATTGGTATAACTTCTAATTTAAGATGTATAAAATCATCAATAAGAAGATGACAAAGAGCATAATTTTTTGAATGCTTTCAATATTCTTATCCATTATTGTCTTCCAATAATAAAATATCACAAGACAACATATTTTTTATAAGTAGAATTTTCTATCTTACTTTAACATCAAATATTGTAGACACTTCACATTATAAATGCATATAATCTTCTTTGAAGAATCTTTGCAATTGAGATCAATAAGCTCTACTATAAATGTGAGCATATTATAAGATATTGTAATGTTGAACAATAGATAAGTTCTTTATAGCTATAAGGATGGCTTATTTAAAGAATTTTTTTTGATTATATAAACATTGAATCCAAACATAAAAATCATCTAAGTTTACAACTGGAGCTAGCTTCTCTTGTACTCAGCTTGATAAGATTGGTTCTTGTCTATATAATAATTAATAAGGAGTATAAGATATCAAAGATGCTTATTTATTAAAGCAATAATCTATTGCAATTCAAGGCAATATCAAGTTCCAATCATAATGATTGCTATAAAATAATCTATACTTTTATAAACTGTGCTTGCTAGTTTGAACAATCCGTTCAATTAAGCCATCTGTCTTATAATAATTTTTAGAGGTGGTATAATGATCTATCAAAACTTTAATATATAAAGCTTCAAACATCCTAAAGAACTCTCTTCATTGATTTGTTAATACTTCAGCATGTTCTTTAAAATATGCCAATATACAATAAAAAAAAGCCACAATTACCAATTTTGAAGAATTTTATAGTAAAGCTACAAATTCAATCCACTTGCTAAAATACTCTACCATTACTAATACATATTTAGCTCCATATGAGATAACAATAAGTAGTCTAACAAAGTCCAAAGTCTAATAATAATCCAAATTCATGATAGATAAAGATTTCAATTTAGGTTTTAAGGAATTAGAGCTTGATTTAACTTGATCACACACTTCACACTAAGAAACATGTGTTGCCACTTGTTGATATATACCACTCTATTAATATTGATTACACAACATAAAATATGTCTTATCTATCTAAAAATATCTAAGCTTTTCATGTACTTGCTATACTATTTTTTTTTTTTTTTTTTTTTTTTCGATATGATCTTGGAGTTATGCACCTAGTTCTATTAAGCCATAGAAGAAATAACAAATTTTTCTCTCAACAAAACCTTACTATTTGATGATTAATCCTATCTCTTTTTATATTAGAGATAGTTGGAAGAAATGATTGTTGTTGAACTTATACAAGATTGTAAGATCCTTCTCCACATTGCTAATTACTTGATTCTTGTTCAATTCTTCATTTGAATTTTGACAAGAATCAGAGTTGTAGAACTTGACATCAAAGACAAGTATGTAGTTGTATACCATCTAGACATTGTTTCTTTATTACAATCTCCATACCTCAAGCTCTAATTAAAACTTCTTTTGAAGGACTTGGATTACAAGAAAGTCCATCAACATTCAAATTAGTAGTGACTATCCAATGTACAACCTCAAAATTGTATTTTTATAAGGTTGTCTGATTTCATAAGCTACTTCAAAGGTTGATGGTCAATTATCAATATACATTATTGAACATACAAGTAAGGTAGAAAGTAAATAATAGTCCAAACTATTGCCAAAGCTTCTCCTTTATAAGATGAATAATTGGACTTTGCATTGTTATTACTTTTAGAAGCAAATGCAATAATATATTTCTATCTTATATCCATCTTTTTGTGTCAAAAGTACTTCCACTGCACTTTAATTCATATGTAATTGGAAAGGTCTAATGACATTCAGATGTTGAAGTACTAGAGTTGAATCCAACTTTTGTTGCAATGTGTCAAATATATATTTATTACTCATGATTTTAAGTCCATGGTTGATCTTTGCCTATAAGAAATAGTTAAAGACTTGGCAATCGGACTAAAGTTTTTAACAAATATTTAATAGTAGTTTATTAATCCTAGAAAAGTCCAAAGTTATAAAACATCACTTGGTACTAGGATTTTTTACAAGGCATTTACTTTTTCTTGCTATATGCCGAGACTTCTTAAAATAATCATGTGATTTAAGTATGAGAACTATTCATAGAAGAATTTATACTTGCCATGATATAAGTATAATTTCCATTATCTTAATCATTCAAAGACAACTTATAGATGCCTCTCATGATCTTGTAGGCTATTATTAAAAATAATAATATCATCAATGTAGCATCTAGCAAATGATAAGCTAAATAAAATCTGATCAATTATCTATTGAAATTTAATTAGTGTATTTTTAAGACCAAATAGAAAGAATTTCTACTAATAGAATTAATCTTTTCTATTTTAATCAACTTCCTAAAATATTGTCTTTATCCAAACTTCAATAAATAATGGTAAGTAGTGATAATCAGATCTTAAATCCAAAGTATTGAATACTCAAGAGAATCCTATTGAATCAAATAATTCTTTTGACATTGGTATTGGATATTAATCAAAAT